GCCGCAGCTCGGGACCGTGAGAGTGCGCGTGAGTCAGCGTGAGTTTGTGAGTGTGCGCGTGGAGCTCCGTGCACGTGTGTCTGTGTGAATCTGTGAGTGTGCGAGTCTGTGAGAGTGCGCGTGAGTCTGTGTGGGAGGATGTGTCAGTGTGAGTGTGCGCGTGTGTCTGTAAGTGTGAGTCTGAGAGGGTGTGTCTGTGTGAGTGTGAGTCTGTGTGAGGGTGTGTCTGTGAGTCTGTGACGGTGTGTGTGAGAGAATGTGTATGTGAGTCTATGTGCCTGTGTGTGTATGAGTGAGTCTGTGTGACTGAATTTGTATGAGTGTGTCAGTCTGTGTGAGTGTGCGGTGAGGAAAGCGTGTTTCTGTGAGAGAGTATGTGCGTCTGTGAGAGAGTATGTGTGCGTCTGAGTGTGTCAGTGTGACACTGTGTGTGAGAATGTGTATGTGAATCTGTGTGCGTGTGTACGAGTGTGAGTCTGCGTGACTGAATTTGTGTGAGAGTATGTGTCAGTCTGAGTGTGTGCCTATGTGAGAGGATGTGAGTCTGTGAGTTTGTGTGAGGGTGTGCATGTGTCTGTGCGACGGTGTGTGTATGTCCATGTGAGAGTGTGAGTCTGTGTGACTGTTGAAATCTGTGTGTGCGTGTGTGTGTGAGAGCGTGTGTGAGTGTGCAGGCATCTGTGTGTGAGTTTAGGTGACAGCATGCACATCTGTGTGACGGAAGAGTGTGCATGTGTGTCTGTGTGAGACTGTGTGTGTGTGTCTGTGAGAGTGTGTCTGTGAGAATGTGCATGTATCTGTGTGTGAGTCTGAGAGTCTGTGAATGTGCACGTGTCTGTAAGCGTGTGTGTGAAAGTGTGAATATGTACACATCTGTGAGAGTGAGTCGTGCACGTGTCTGTGACTCTGAGAGTGTGCGCATGAGTGTGTGTGTCTGAGAATTTGTGAGTGTGTGAGCATTGTGTGTGCGCAGGTGTCTGTGTGACTGTATGAGACTGAGGCTGCACATGTGTC